AACTTGATGTCAATGAGTCCAATATTTAGGCGATTGTCTGATTTATTATATACTATTCGGGCTTTGCGATATTATTATTTGTATATACATTTTACTCTTATTTGGGTAGAAAAGTTTTAACTAAATTTTTTTTTAAATATACATGTACATAAAATGTTACTGATGATAAAAAATACTTTTTGATCTAACTATCATTTATTTCCTCATAAAGTTGACTATTTAAAATTTTTTTCAACTGTATTTTCAGAATCCAAAACAAAAACAAAAATTTAGAATGTAAGAAATATAAACAAAAATAATTTCTTATAGATCTGGTTCAAAATTAAAGCATAATCAAAATTATGACAAAAATCAAAATTCTAACAGGACAAAAATTTCAAGAGATCTGAATTTCAATATATGCAAAATCTGAAATAATAATAATTGCAAACTTTTCCTAAAATAATGAAAATTTTGATTTTTATAATGATTTTCACAAGACTCATTTGATTCATTCTGTTGCTGTTATTCTTTCTTCATAATTCTAAATTTCTTAATGTCTTTCTTTCTTCCATTATACAAGAAAGAAACGAGAACATTAATCTACCAATTATATGAAGTTTGCTAGGGTATTATATAAAAATGAAATTGTAAAAATTTAAGGATACAAAATTTACATGATGATGGTATTGAAGTATGGTATTAGTTAAATGATATTTGTGGAAAACATAATCAATTATATTGTCTGCTTAAGAGATTTGGACAATAGAAAAGACAGAAAATTGTTGTCTATTGTTTGCAAATCAAGATACAAATACATCAATAGTCCTATTATTAAACTGAGACCAGATATTTTGTAGGTGTCCACTAAATCCAAGTTTTGTTGCACTAATTTGTTTTTACTATTCAAAATATGTAAAAATTTGAAAATTAATATTTTTTTTTACTTCTTTTATTTGAGACTGTAAAAATGATTAAATTTTGAGTTTAAAATATTTACGTTAAAATAGTATTTTCTATAATAAGTTAAGTGTGTTAGAATATGATTTTATAATATTTCATGACCTAATGTGCTATTATTATTTTCTATGATACAGAAGGAAGAAATTAAAAATCTTATAAATTGTAAAGGTTTATAAATTACTAGCTTATTACATCTGTTTTCCCTGTTATAAAGTACCCATTGCAGTAATTGTTACACTCTGCATTATTAATCATAAATTTAAAAAATGTATGTGGCAAAACCCATTTTAACAACATTATCAGAATGCCTATTAACTACATGGGAAGTATGTCTTTGTAAATAGCAAGTTTATAGAAATATTATTAACATTAGTTTGGTTTATTTGGTTAAGGCAATGCCTCACAGGAAGACTTTTATGGGAAACTGGCCCCTATTTAGATGTTACTAATGTAAAGAAAACCTGGAAAACTCCACTTGGCCAGCTCATTGGCAATGTGCAAACCCACGACCAACTACCAGTGTTCGGTAGTTTTATCCACTTAGCAATGGTGAGCACTTATTAGAATTAAGAATGTACCATTCAGAAATGAAAAAACCCATGTTGTTACATGTGGAAAATTAAACACTTACTGTATATAGTTTTCACAGTGTAACACTTTCAACTCAATGCACAATGGCACCGTGCTACTCATTGTAGTAATGATATAGCATGTCCACTTTGCACTATATCATTGTTACAGTAATTAAGTGAATATAATATTTTTTTAAAATTATATATCTTTTNTTCAGTCGAGATTGAAACAGTCCATGGAGGTTGCACCAAGGCGAACGGGGTATAAGGCTCTAGTTTAGTAGTGTTACAGAGTATAATACGTATATTTTAATATATTTTTTAAAAGAAACAAAACCACTGAGAAATGCTACGTATGTTTAACAACGGGTTCAGAAAACTTTGAAAATGTTAACAACGAGTTTGGCCGAACCTGTGTGAACCTGCTGAATATCACCACTAAGAACAGAAATATGTCATTGTATTAGGACACTTAGGTGCAGAAGATAAACAGTCTTCTTCATCTACATTAAGATGAAAGAAAAATTAAATAAATTATATTTTTAATAAATATGTCATTTATGTTGTTATTTCTTGTAATCTCCAGAAAACTGTGTGTGTGCATTCCTAAACTCAATGTATTGTTTAGTCA